CATGCTAGGTAGATTAGTGTGGGTATGCCTGCCTGGGCTACAATTACACCTGTGTAAATATACCCTCAAGTGTCTGTTGCTTGAATGCAGTGAGGGATAAGGAAACAGTATCAGCATGGATTAAGCAGGTGTGCGTTACACACACACACACACACTCCTTCCCTCTCCAGTTCAGTTAGTAGATATAGAGCAGCTCTTTCAATGAGTCTGCTCTCTACACTTCATTGCTTGGGCTGCACTGCTACTCTTTGCTGAGAGCCTTTCACTCCCCTGCAACTTCTGTTGGCTTCCGAATTTAAGTCTGAATTAAACTTTTGACACAACAAGCCTAGAGCAACATAGAAAAGATGCTCTGCTACATTGCCAGCCTCAGGCAAATAAAAATATCCTCCGAGGGAACACTGGTAAAGAGTGCAGAAGGTGGTGTTTGCCTATTTGCTATATATGCTAATACAGGTTAGAAGCATAAATTGTCATGCATACTCAAAAGACCAGACGATGCTCTAAATAAGGATGGGTGGACTCAAAACTACATGATTTTTTATTGTGATTAAGACAGTAGCTGTACTGTATCTCATTTTTCCTCCTCTATCTAGAAGGAAAATGCTGTGCACTGTACAGTTACTGGGGCTGCATTATTTCCCACACACGCTCAATTCTAAATTGACCTGCAAGTATGTTTAAAGGGAGGATCATTAAATAAAGCTGGTGATCTGCATTTATAGACAGGCTCTCAGCACCATGTAAGCCTCATGTTAGAGGCTTGAGAAGTGTGTAAAACCTTGATTGGGCACTCTTCACTAAATTCAATATTTCCCATTAGATGTAGCGTAGTAGCCGTGTCAGTCCCAGGCTATTAGAGAGACAGCATGGGTAATGTAATAGCCTCATGGTCTCGGACACCATCCGATGGTCCGAGGACATCTACATCGAACACATCACCGGCCACCGACAGTACCAGGAGGTGTGAGCTGGTACGACATCGTGCATCAACTATGGGAAAGGGACTGAGAGACTTTTTCCATTGGACCATATGAACTGGAACCATAAACTCACTGAACATTAAAACCCACCAAATGAGGTTAGATCCATCCTCATCATCATATCCGCTCATTATACTCCACACCTGAATATAGCCATTAAATGGACAACACACCCCCATAACTCAATGTCTGTACTTTGACCCATTAAACTTTTACCCCAAATCAGGGAGACTGCAGATTATGTATTCCTTATGCCACCCGCTCCTAAACCGAATTTCGCACCCCTTGATAATCTGTACCTTATTCCCTGATAACCAGAAACTTCTATGCCTAAACTCTGTACCGTTTTCTTTTTACTTCAACATTATCTTAATAAAATTAATAAATCTCTCTATTACCTGTTGTAAATTATAGGGCCATATCTTAATGGGAAAAAAAAAAGGTGAAGTTTTGAATTAAGTTAGCTTAGTCAAGTTAGCTTAGAACATCCAAAAGCCCTTTAAGGCCTTACCATCACTAGGAAAGAAGGTATGCTTTTAACAAATTAATTTAATATGTGTTAAAACCCTGGTGTAGTCAAAGTTATTTTTAGTTTTAAAATCTTAGCTGGTCAAGTAAACTGTAGGCTCCCCACTATGGTTTCCCTCAATCAGCTAATGTGTTAAAAGTACAACTGCTTGTCTACATTAGGATTTTAACATGTAAATATACATCTTTTTCCTAGTGACAATGAGGTCTAAGGCTATATCTTCACTGCAGTGAAATAACTAATGCAACCAAAACAATCTAAGGCCTGAGCTACACTAAAACTTATTTCTACATAGTTTCAGAGCTCAGGGCTGTGAAATATCCACACAACTGAGCACTGTCGTTATGCCAACCTAATCCCCCGTCTAGACACAGCTAGGTTGATGGAAGAATACTTGTGTGGATCTAGCAATTGTTGCTTGGGAAGGAAGTGTTTCTGCAGCAACTGAAAAAACCTGTTCCATCACTGTAGGCTGTGTCTACACACTGTGAGATTATACAGGCATAGCTATTGCGCCCGAACTATGCCACTATAGTCCCCATAGCATAGACATAGCTGATGAGTAAAAAGTCAAATGATTGCCAGGTGGAGGTGGTAGAATTATTTCTATTTCACTCTTTTCATTTGTAATTGTTCCATGAAGAGCTTATACAAGCAAATTTTAGTCCATCATCTATTTGCAAAGTGACAGTTATGATCTTTTATGGTCTGGGGAAAATATACCATGTTAGAAAATATTAATTTTGGGCCTGCGCACACTAGGATAAGATAAGTGTTTTTAGAATGCATTGGCTAACACATATTAACACAAAACTTCAATACTACCAACATGCAAATATTAAAAAATCATGAGTCAGGCCCCTCAAAAACATGACAGGTTTCAGAGTAGCAGCCGTGGTAGTCTGTATTTGCAAAAAGAAAAAGGAGGACTTGTGGCACCTTAGAGACTAACCAATTTATTTGAGCATAAGCTTTCGTGAGCTACAGCTCAACTTCTGGGTACTCTTCTGGCTCTGTCAATCTGTTTCTTCACTTCAGCAGGTGGGCATTATAGTTGTAAGAATGCTTATGCTAACTTTTTTATGGCTGACTTAGAACAACGCTTCCTCAGCTCTCGTCCCCTAATGTCCCTACTCTAATTGCGCTACATTGATGACATTTTCATCATCTGGACCCATGGAAAAGAAGCCCTTGAGGAATTCCACCATGATTTCAACCATTTCCATCCCACCATCAACCTCAGCCTGCACCAGTCCACACAAGAGATCCACTTCCTGGACACTATGGTGCTAATAAGCGATGGTCACATAAACACCACCCTATACTGGAAACCTACTGACCGCTATTCCTACCTACATGCCTCCAGCTTTCATCCAGACCACACCACACGACCCATTGTCTACAGCCAAGCTATACGATACAACCGCATTTGCTCCAACCCCTCAGACAGAGACAAACACCTACAAGATCTCTATCAAGCATTTTTACAACTACAATACCCACCTGCTGAAGTGAAGAAACAGATTGACAGAGCCAGAAGAGTACCCGGAAGTCACCTACTACAGGACAGGCCCAACAAAGAAAATAACAGAATGCCATCACCTTCAGCCCCCAACTAAAACCTCTCCAACACATCATCAAGGATCTACAACCTATCCTGAAGGAGGACCCATCACTCTCACAGATCTTGGGAGACAGGCCAGTCCTTGCTTACAGACAGCCCCCCCAACCTGAAGCAAATACTCACCAACAACCACACCACACAATAGAACCACTAACCCAGGAACCTATCCTTGCAACACAGCCCGTTGCCAACTGTGTCCACATATCTATTCAGGGGACACCATCATAGGGCCTAATCACATCAGCCACATTATCAGAGGCTCGTTCACCTGCACATCTACCAATGTGATATATGCCATCATGTGCCAGCAATGCCCCTCTGCCATGGACATTGGCCAAACTGGACAGTCTCTACGTAAAAGAATAAATGGACACAAATCAGACGTCAAGAATTATAACATTCAAAAACCAGTCGGAAAACACTTCAATCTCTTTGGTCACTCGATTACAGACCTAAAAGTGGCAATTCTTCACCAAAAAAACTTCAAAAACAGACTCCAACAAGAGACTGCTGAATTGGAATTAATTTGCAAACTGGATACAATTAATTTAGGCTTGAATAGAGACTGGGAGTGGATGGGTCATTACACAAAGTGAAACTATTTCCCCATGTTTATTCCCCTCCCCCGACGTTCTTGTCAACTGCTGGAAATGGCCCACCTTGATCATCACTACAAAAGGTTCTTCCCCCCTGCTCTCCAACTGGTAATAGCTCACCTTAAGTGTGTATGGTAACACCCATTGTTTCATGTTCTCTATGTATATAAATCTCCCCACTGTATTTTCCACTAAATGCATCCGATGAAGTGAGCTGCAGCTAACGAAAGCTTATGCTCAAATAAATTTGTTAGTCTCTAAGATGCCACAAGTACTCCTTTTCTTTTTTCGAGAACATGAGTTTTTCTAAAAGTAATATTTTTTTTCTGGTTATAGAGCCTTTAGGGTTCACATTTGCAATTTTTTCTCTGCCATCCCTGAAGGCTGGAAACTTTTTTCAAAAATGAAACCTGTGATTCTCACTTAAAAAAAAAAACAATTGCAGGAACGATGGCCCAGATCCCCAAGGGGATTTAAATCCTAGCCTAGACAGGACCGTCAGGGGCACAAGCCCAATTAACACTCACTGATACTGGGGAAATTATTTCAGCTTAAGGTAAAGTGTGAATTTAAAGCAGAACAGCTATTGCTGATTAACTCCTTGTGTGCAGGCTCTTATTCTGCAACAGGAGCATCTTAATCTCAATTGCATTAAACTAAAATGCAATAAAGCACCGAGCACTCTTAATTCCAGATTTAATCAGGAATTAACTCCCCGTGTAGACAAACCCAGAGCTAAAAGAAAAGGAGTGCTTGTGGCACCTTAGCGACTAACCAATTTATTTGAGCATGAGCTTTCGTGAGCTACAGCTCACTTCATCAGATGCACACCGTGGAAACTGCAGCAGACTTTATATATACACAGAGAATATGAAACAATACCTCCTCCCACCCCACTGTCCTGCTGGTAATAGCTTATCTAAAGTGATCAACAGGTGGGCCATTTCCAGCACAAATCCAGGTTTTCTCACCCTCCACCCCCCCCACACAAATTCACTCTCCTGCTGGTGCTAGCCCATCCAAAGTGACAACTCTTTACATAATCAAGTCGGGCTATTTCCTGCATAGATCCAGGTTTTCTCACATCCCCCCACCCCCATACACACACAAACACAAACACACACTGCGCATGCGCGCACACACACACACAGCAAGCTCAGTCCCAGCACCTGGGGTTGCGCGCCCGCGCGGGCGATATCCCACGGGGGCGGGTGGGCGGAGCCAGAAAGAGGGGGCGGGGCCATTCGCGCTCTGCGGGGGTCTCTCACCTCCTCGTGCCAGCTCTTGCGTGTCCCGCAACTCCTGCTCCTTGGCCCACAGCCGCTGGATCCGCGCTCCCAGCTCGGGGCCGGCTCGGCCCCGCGCCTGCTCCTCCAGGAAGCGGCGCAGCCCGGGCGCGGCGAACAGCGTCTCCAGGCCAGGCCAGGAGCTCAGCGGGCGCCGCGGCGGCTGCGCGGCACGTCCCCAGCCCAGACAGGCCCCGGCGGCGGCCCCGCGGCAGCTCCTGGCCGGAGGCGGGGCCGCGCGCAGCCCTTGCCCCGCGAGGAGAGTCCGCGCGAGCAGCCGCATGACCCACGCGAGCGACCCGCGGCGGAAAAGACCGAAGAGGCTCGAGTCTGTCTCTGGCCGCGACCTCTTCGGGAATGGCCGGAAACGTTCGGGTGGCTCCCCTTGAATCCCGGAAACTGCCGAAGGCGCTCGGCTCCCCACCAGCTTCGGAAACAGCCGACAAGGGATCGGACTGGACGGCCAGGAGAAGGGGGCGGGGCGGAGACAGACCCAGGCCCCACCACTGACGCGGCGTGTCTGAGCCGCCGGGTCCTAGCTCGCCCCGGCACACGGCGGCGGAGCCTTCGCCAGAGGCTGGGCAAGACCCAGGGAAGGTCGGAGAGAGCCAGAGCCACCCGTGATCATCACCCTGCGTCTCTACAGCCTCCGCACCCCTCCTACCTATACATCCCCACAGCCCCTGCCAGCCACACAGCCCCTCCTACCTATACATCACCACAGCCCCTCCCAGCCACACACCCCTCCTACCTATACATCCCCACAGCCCCTGCCAGCCACACAGCCCCTCCTACCTATACATCCCCACAGCCCCTCCCAGCCACACAGCCCCTCCTACCTATACATCCCCACAGCCCCTCCCAGCCACACAGCCCCTCCTACCTATACATCCCCACAGCCCCTGCCAGCCACACAGCCCCTCCTACCTATACATCCCCACAGCCCCTCCCAGCCACACACCCCTCCTACCTATACATCCCCACAGCCCCTGCCAGCCACACAGCCCCTCCTACCTATACATCCCCACAGCCCCTGCCAGCCACACAGCCCCTCCTACCTATACATCCCCACAGCCCCTCCCAGCCACACACCCCTCCTACCTATACATCCCCACAGCCCCTGCCAGCCACACAGCCCCTCCTACCTATACATCCCCACAGCCCCTCCCAGCCACACAGCCCCTCCTACCTATACATCCCCACAGCCCCTCCCAGCCACACACCCCTCCTACCTATACATCCCCACAGCCCCTCCCAGCCACACACCCCTCCTACCTATACATCCCCACAGCCCCTGCCAGCCACACAGCCCCTCCTACCTATACATCCCCACAGCCCCTCCCAGCCACACAGCCCCTCCTACCTATACATCCCCACAGCCCCTGCCAGCCACACACCCCTCCTACCTATACATCCCCACAGCCCCTGCCAGCCACACACCCCTCCTACCTATACATCCCCACAGCCCCTCCCAGCCACACACCCCTCCTACCTATACATCCCCACAGCCCCGCCCAGCCACACACCCCTCCTACCTATACATCCCCACAGCCCCTGCCAGCCACACAGCCCCTCCTACCTATACATCCCCACAGCCCCTCCCAGCCACACAGCCCCTCCTGCCTATACATCCCCACAGCCCCTCCCAGCCACACAGCCCCTCCTACCTATACATCCCCACAGCCCCTCCCAGCCACACAGCCCCTCCTACCTATACATCCCCACAGCCCCTCCCAGCCACACAGCCCCTCCTACCTATACATCCCCACAGCCCCTCCCAGCCACACAGCCCCTCCTACCTATACATCCCCACAGCCCCTCCCAGCCACACAGCCCCTCCTACCTATACATCCCCACAGCCCCTCCCAGCCACACAGCCCCTCCTACCTATACATCCCCACAGCCCCTCCCAGCCACACAGCCCCTCCTACCTATACATCCCCACAGCCCCTCCCAGCCACACAGCCCCTCCTGCCTATACATCCCCACAGCCCCTCCCAGCCACACAGCCCCTCCTACCTATACATCCCCACAGCCCCTCCCAGCCACACAGCCCCTCCTACCTATACATCCCCACAGCCCCTCCCAGCCACACAGCCCCTCCTACCTATACATCCCCACAGCCCCTCCCAGCCACACAGCCCCTCCTACCTATACATCCCCACAGCCCCGCCCAACCACACAGCCCCTCCTACCTATACATCCCCACAGCCCCTGCCAGCCACACAGCCCCTCCTACCTATACATCCCCACAGCCCCTCCCAGCCACACAGCCCCTCCTACCTATACATCCCCACAGCCCCTCCAACCACACAGCCCCTCCTACCTATACATCCCCACAGCCCCTCCCAGCCACACAGCCCCTCCTACCTATACATCCCCACAGCCCCTCCCAGCCACACAGCCCCTCCTGCCTATACATCCCCACAGCCCCTCCCAGCCACACAGCCCCTCCTACCTATACATCCCCACAGCCCCTCCCAGCCACACACCCCTCCTACCTATACATCCCCACAGCCCCGCCCAGCCACACAGCCCCTCCTACCTATACATCCCCACAGCCCCTCCAACTACACAGCCCCTCCTACCTATACATCCCCACAGCCCCTCCCAGCCACACAGCCCCTCCTACCTATACATCCCCACAGCCCCTCCCAGCCACACAGCCCCTCCTACCTATACATCCCCACAGCCCCTCCCAGCCACACAGCCCCTCCTACCTATACATCCCCACAGCCCCTCCCAGCCACACAGCCCCTCCTACCTATACATCCCCACAGCCCCTCCAACTACACAGCCCCTCCTACCTATACATCCCCACAGCCCCTCCCAGCCACACAGCCCCTCCTACCTATACATCCCCACAGCCCCTCCCAGCCACACAGCCCCTCCTACCTATACATCCCCACAGCCCCGCCCAGCCACACACCCCTCCTACCTATACATCCCCACAGCCCCGCCCAACCACACAGCCCCTCCTACCTATACATCCCCACAGCCCCTCCAACACACAGCCCCTCCTACCTATACATCCCCACAGCCCCTCCCAGCCACACAGCCCCTCCTACCTATACATCCCCACAGCCCCTCCCAGCCACACAGCCCCTCCTACCTATACATCCCCACAGCCCCTCCCAGCCACACAGCCCCTCCTACCTATACATCCCCACAGCCCCTCCCACCCACAGCCCCTCCTACCTATACATCCCCACAGCCCCTCCCAGCCACACAGCCCCTCCTACCTATACATCCCCACAGCCCCTGCCAGCCACACAGCCCCTCCTTCCTCTACATCCCCACAGCCCCGCCCAGCCACACAGCCCCTCCTACCTATACGTCCCCACAGCCCCGCCCAGCCACACAGCCCCTCCTACCTATACATCCCCACAGCCCCTCCCAGCCACACAGCCCCCCTCCTTCCCTACATCCCCACAGCCCCGCCCAGCCACACAGCCCCTCCTACCTATACATCCCCACAGCCCCTGCCAGCCACACAGCCTCTCCTACCTATACATCCCCACAGCCCCTCCCAGCCACACAGCCCCTCCTACCTATACATCCCCACAGCCCCTCCCAGCCACACAGCCCCTCCTACCTATACATCCCCACAGCCCCTCCCAGCCACACAGCCCCTCCTACCTATACATCCCCACAGCCCCTCCCAGCCACACAGCCCCTCCTACCTATACATCCCCACAGCCCCTGCCAGCCACACAGCCCCTCCTTCCTCTACGTCCCCACAGCCCCGCCCAGCCACACAGCCCCTCCTACCTATACATCCCCACAGCCCCGCCCAGCCACACAGCCCCTCCTACCTATACATCCCCACAGCCCCTCCCAGCCACACAGCCCCTCCTACCTCTACATCCCCACAGCCCCGCCCAGCCACACAGCCCCTCCTACCTATACATCCCCACAGCCCCTCCCAGCCACACAGCCCCTCCTACCTATACATCCCCACAGCCCCTCCCAGCCACACAGCCCCTCCTACCTATACGTCCCCACAGCCCCTCCCAGCCACACAGCCCCTCCTTCCTCTACATCCCCACAGCCCCGCCCAGCCACACAGCCCCTCCTACCTATACATCCCCACAGCCCCTCCCAGCCACACAGCCCCTCCTACCTATACATCCCCACAGCCCCTCCCAGCCACACAGCCCCTCCTACCTATACATCCCCACAGCCCCTCCAACTACACAGCCCCTCCTACCTATACATCCCCACAGCCCCTCCCAGCCACACAGCCCCTCCTACCTATACATCCCCACAGCCCCCAGCACACAGCCCCTCCCCCTATACACCCCACAGCCCCTCCCAGCCACACACCCCTCCTACCTATACATCCCCACAGCCCCGCCCAACCACACAGCCCCTCCTACCTATACATCCCCACAGCCCCTCCAACTACACAGCCCCTCCTACCTATACATCCCCACAGCCCCTCCCAGCCACACAGCCCCTCCTACCTATACATCCCCACAGCCCCTCCCAGCCACACAGCCCCTCCTGCCTATACATCCCCACAGCCCCTCCCAGCCACACAGCCCCTCCTACCTATACATCCCCACAGCCCCTCCCAGCCACACACCCCTCCTACCTATACATCCCCACAGCCCCGCCCACCACACAGCCCCTCCTACCTATACATCCCCACAGCCCCTCCAACCACACAGCCCCTCCTACCTATACATCCCCACAGCCCCTCCCAGCCACACAGCCCCTCCTACCTATACATCCCCACAGCCCCTCCCAGCCACACAGCCCCTCCTACCTATACATCCCCACAGCCCCGCCCAGCCACACAGCCCCTCCTACCTATACATCCCCACAGCCCCGCCCAGCCACACAGCCCCTCCTACCTATACATCCCCACAGCCCCTCCCAGCCACACAGCCCCTCCTACCTATACATCCCCACAGCCCCTCCCAGCCACACAGCCCCTCCTACCTATACATCCCCACAGCCCCTCCCAGCCACACAGCCCCTCCTACCTATACATCCCCACAGCCCCTCCCAGCCACACAGCCCCTCCTACCTATACATCCCCACAGCCCCTGCCAGCCACACAGCCCCTCCTTCCTCTACGTCCCCACAGCCCCGCCCAGCCACACAGCCCCTCCTACCTATACCTCCCCACAGCCCCGCCCAGCCACACAGCCCCTCCTACCTATACATCCCCACAGCCCCGCCCAGCCACACAGCCCCTCCTTCCTCTACGTCCCCACAGCCCCGCCCAGCCACACAGCCCCTCCTACCTATACATCCCCACAGCCCCTGCCAGCCACACAGCCTCTCCTACCTATACATCCCCACAGCCCCTGCCAGCCACACAG